GTAACAATGGAGAATATTCTCCTTAATTTTCTCCTTTATTCTCCCATTAAGTATTCACAATTAACCAAAAATTTTTTTACCCAAAAATACTACCAAGTAGATCTCAAATATATATCGGAGACTACGGATACAAGGAGGAACCACAAAATGTTCAGTAAAGTTTTATAGGCTCCTAATGTACTGTTTGTGAAACATCCTATATTGTTAAGGTTGTCACCAATTATTTGATTTGGTCTGAAGCCAATGAAGAGTTCAATTACAGACTCTTCATAGATTTGACATAACTTTTGAGGTTATGTCTTGATTCTTCACATCTCTTTATGCTTAGACAAGGAAAGAGAGGGGACAGGTAACACGACAGCTGAAAGTGAGGCCACTTGTCACCACACGAAATTCTCCAATGGCGTAGCATCAGAAATTAATTTGTACCTAGACGATAAAAAATATTTATTAAAACGTTAACTAATATATCGTTTATTTTTGAGTAATGCATATACAATTTTGTATTTTATAGTCTCACCTTTATAATATTAGAATATCTAAGCCGATAATGCAAAATTTATTTAACAGTCGCAGTGAACTGATCATCAAGACAATTATTTATTTATTAACGTATGTATAATATATAATTAAATAAAAAATAATGTAAATATATATGTTTTAAACGTGTATTTACATATATACCAAAATATCGAAAAACAACGGCATCCTGTTTGTTTGGAGATGACGATCGATGACATTCCCCATATAATTCTACATATAAAATGACTTAAAAACTATATAATCCTCATCGACAGTCATTTACAAGCCAACTGGACGCCGTTTTTTTCGATCATACGGTATAATAATGAATCTAGCCAATCCCCTTCACACTTGCCTACGGATTCAATGAATAATGTAATTTTTAATATTTGTTACCTTCAATCATAAGAATATCCTAATTTTCCGCAAAAAAATAAACAATTATTCTAGAAGCTTTGTGTTATTTTATTTATTTATTTTTAAATTTTTATTAATTACTCTCTGAAACTATTATAATATACCTAAACTAGCAAATTTTTTGAAAGGATATCTAAAAAAATATTGTAACAAGTAGCCCACCACAAGTTTGTCCACCCCCAGCAAATCTTAGCAGGTAAATTTAAGTTTTATGTAACAACTATACATATAGATTTTTTATAACCAAAATTTTTCATGTTTTTTTATAGTTTACAGTTATTATTTTACATATTTGATAACAATACTTTACACATTTTTTTACATGTAAAATATATAAACAAAAATGTTTATTGCAGAAATTGTATTTCTCTGATTATAATACCCTACGCCACTGGAGAAATCCTGTCTGAGTAGCATTATTTATAGTTTCAAACATTAATTATAATATAGTATATTGAAAATACTACTTGGAATTAATAAAAATAGTTTGCTTTGGATGTGGTACAAGACATATTAAAAGCATTTTACATATTTTTACTGCTATAATGAAAAAAATGTACATTTTATGACTACATAGCACAAGTTGTGTATCAACTTTTACCTGTAAAATGTAATTCCAGTCATGTTTTTCTCGCTTCAGCCTTTGCAGCCATACGCCGAACATCTCACCATACTAAACAACACAGTTTATAAATTTAAAACAAAACAGTATTCACAAAAAACATAAAAATTCGCTTGGTATAACCTCGAAATCTTGTCACCAAAGTATGGCCGCCGATCAAATTTTGGCCTCAAAAAGTTTTCACTGGAGAATATCCGTGTTAGCTGTCCCCTCTCTTTCCTTGTCTAAGTCTTTATGTCACAGCGGCTGTGGTAATCACTAGATTTGACTTTTAGGCTATACAATTTTTTTTATCAGGCAGTTTTTTCCGTCCAAAAATTTTAAATATTTTTTTCTCAAAAACCGTTAATGTTAGGTATGTTATCTATATTATAGAGTGTTTAATATCAATATTCATAGAATTTTACAGAGAATTTAAATATTTAATAAAAAATGGGGGCACCCATTTAAAATTAAAAAATTGCTGTCAACTTCATATTGAACACAACAACATATTGAAAATGTTTTTAATCGATAGATCTCGTAAAACAATAATTTGCAAAAAATCTCCGATCTAGATATTGTGGTTCTCTAGAAACTTCTAATGCACGCTCAGCCTGGGACACCCTGTATAACAAGTTGCATGAAAAGCCTTGTATAACATTAACTTGATTACAGAGACACTGACCAATAGAGGCGTAGTTTTTTAATTACTCTTATTATCACGACCCTATAGAAACTAATCTACTAATGCAAACCGCCATATCTATCATTAGTTAGTTAATTCTAATTCGATTAAACAGACGAGAGAAAAAAAGGAGTCTCTTATATCGTGTTCTCCATCTATCCACACCCAGCGTATGAGTTATTTCCATGTGTGTGTGTGTGTATAAAAAACGGGCGTTAACAATAGCGGGTGTTTCCTAGAAAATAAATATAACATTTATATAGCGAGTCAATGCACTCGAACGTATACATTTTCTTGAACTTATAGCATTAGGAACGCATGACCCGCGTTTCGACCTTTTCCTAAGCAATTCCTGGAGCGCATGTCGGGTTAATTTAATTGAGTGAGGCGCATTCATTGGTCGATTAATTTTAATATATCTATTATACGGATCGTTGGAAAGGTTAGAAAAATATACGTATTAAAAACACTTGCGGTGACTGGAAATGACTACGAACAATTGTCTCTTTTGATGATTATACAGAATATGTCGAGATTTATATTACCAGGGTGAATACTAGGGTTCAGAAGAACATCAAAGAACCGGAACTCGAAATTATTAATTCACGGTTTTTTCGGTACTTTCGGGACTCGGTTATAATAATTAAAAACATATTTTTTGTTAAGCCTTGTTCACGCAGACGCGAATCGCGAATCGCGATTTTGCGAAACTGCTCTCATTGGTCCAATTTTACTGATCATGGCGGCGCTGTCAGAAATTTTAAGATTTTGGCGATTCGCAAGATTTATTTATTTTATATTTTATAGCTATAGATCTTTATTTTATATTTTATAGCATACAATATGAGTTTGAATTTGTTTAATAATTATGAATATCGATTACGATTGTGGGATTGGAATAGAATAAGGTGCAAATTGCCATTTACTTATTGTTAAAACGTAGGAGAGAACGGGTTTATAGCACAGGTTTATATTCTTTTCGTAGGTCATTTATGGGTCATTTGGGACATGTGAAATATTCAAATGTCGTAAGCAACAAGGTGCTTGTCACAATTTAATTCAAGAAATAAGGAAAAAAAAATTTAAAAAATTTAGGAATTTTCACAGATTGTCTATACAGGAGTTTGATAACTTGGTTGAAGTTGAAAAATTGTCACCATATATATCAAAAACATATTATGCACGAGACCCCATTTCAACTGGAGAAATACTTGGAAATACTTTCAGTTACTTTGCGGCAGCCTCGTCAAAATAATCGATAACCGGATCACAACACCATTCTGCGCAAACGCGAACCTTAAAATCGCGCGAATATTCGCAAAAAGTTGAAAACACTTTAACTTTCCCGCCCCCCTAATTTTAAATCTTGCGAATCGCCAAAATCTTAAAATTTCTGACAGCGCCGCCATGATAAGTAAAATTGGACCAATGAGAGCAGTTTCGCAAAATCGCGATTCGCGATTCGCGTCTACGTGAACAAGGCTTTATAGTTTATTTGTGTTATGTTTTTATAGGCATTTGCATCTTTAATTGAAAATGTTTTTTTTTTCATATATAGTTAAGTTGGTTTCGAGGTTGGTTAATGTTAGTTAGTTGGTTATTCAATGTTGTTCATTATTTGTGTTCATGTTTACCTTCTCATGACTTAATAATTTGATATTATGTTTATTTGAAAACTCAATTTTTTATCGGTTTTACTTTTGAGAACCATCCCTTGCTTGCTAATTGACGAACTCCACAATCATTTGGTTAGACCTACTATAATATTGTAAAATCATAAAATTAAGAAATTGGGGCTTATCAAGTTTTTCCCCTGGACCCTTCATATACAAGGTGTCCCAGAAATAAGTGCAAGTATTTTAACTGGTAGTATAGTTCAACCCCAGAACCACGCCTATGAGGTTTTCTTCGCGAAAAAAAAATTGAAAATTCGGAATTTTTTTTTAGTTAAAAAAGCATAATTTCTTGATAATATGGCAACATAGGTAGTAGATTAAATTTACAAGAAAGGAAATCCAGAAAAGATCCAGTGGTTGTCAAAATATTAGAAAAAAATCATTTTTGGAAATTTTCAAAGTAAAATAACTCCGTTATTTTGGACTTATTTGATAACCGATAAATGGAAAATATGTTTCTTTTATCGAGATCTACCATCCCTTAAAATACTTGCACTTATTTCTGGAACACCCTGTATAAAAAGCAAGCCTCGTATTAGGAACAATATTATTAGCATTTTGGGTAATTATGCAGTATAGGTGTTCTTCGTATTTTTAGTGATTTCTTAAAAATTCTTTTTTTACGTGATTCTAGAGACCAAATACAACACAAATCCGTGTGCGCACGTTGATTTTTTTTTCTGATGTTAAGACAAGTTGAGCAGAACTCCTCTTCATGTCGAGCGTTGGGCGGGTTGGTTAGCGTGGTTATTTGGAGAGTGTTAATTCATTGGTTAGTCATAGGTCATATTATATAATTAATTTACCTATGACTAACCAATGAATTAATACCCTCCAAATAACCACGCTAACCAACCCGCCCAACGCTCGATATGAAGAGGAGTAAAAAAAACAACGTGGGCACACAGATTTGTGTTGTATATGGTCTATAGAATCACGTAAAAAAAGAATTTTTGAGGAATCTCTAAAAATACGAAAAACACCTATACTGCATAATTACCGCATTTTGAGTTGCGAGGATATACAATTTTCAATGCGTTTGTTATACTTTCAAAATATTAGAACGTTTAACTGATGAGTACCTAATTGATTCCAGGTTGGCCGAAATGGAAGCGGAAGTGCTGGCCGGGCGACTCCACACCTCTCGCCTGCAAGAGGACCTGGAAAACCTGCTGTGCGCCAAGCACGACCTGGAGGAACAGCTCAAGGCGATCGTGTCGCAGCGGGGGGAGGTCAATTCGCGCATCCACGACCTCCACCTGCAGTTCGTGGCGAAGAGCGCGAGTGATGAAAAATTGAAACTGTTGAGCGGTGGTGGCGCGGCCAAAGATTCTAGTCAAGTGTCGAAGGGTGGTAGCGGGACGACGGGGCAGGAACGGCGGAGGTATTCCGCCGGGACGCTGGACGTGGTTCTGGGGAATTTTGTGCCGAAAGTGACGACGCCGGACCGGAGGAGAATAGCGGCCATTTTGAAGGAGCACGATCCGTTGGTGTTGCAGAAGCATCTGTTGGTGTCTACCGTTCAGAACCAGGTTAGGATGGTATTTTTTATTTATATGTATACTAGCTGATACCCTTAACGTTGTTGGCGATTTAATTTTTCGATGTGTTGTAAAATAATTAATAGCTTTTAAATGTACCTTCTACAGTTGCTTCCTTTTCTAAGCATTGATGAGAAATCATTTCACTTGATGAGAACACTCTTCTTTATACATATATTTTTTTATTCTTTGTTGTTTATGTTTTTGGTGAACAATAATATACAAGGTGTTTCCAAATGCCATCTCTTGTGGGGAGATACCTGACGTAAAAATATGATTTATTTTTGATATCAGCATAGATCCGATTTTGCTTTGTTGGTAGCTACAGGGTGTTAAAGTCTTAATATTTTTTCTTCCAAGTACTTTTATTGTTTCGAATGAAATTTTGAGGGTAAAAGTTGCTATAAATGCGACATATTTTAAAGCTAAAAAAGTGTCGACATATTCACAAGGGACGTGCATATGGGTTATCACTGGAATATTTTTTTTAAAAAAAGCATGTGCGGCACTGACTTTTTTCTCTCGTTAGCGAAATAGTGTAAGCAGTTTAATGCCGATTAAAAGTTGTCTCTTGATATTTTGTCGATTTTGGCCTCCTTGATGGGATAAACACAATTTTATTAATTTGCCTTGATCCAAGTCTAGTAGCAACCTTTAAAAAAATTTAATATTATTAACTCGCGAAAGTTTTAAATAAGTACTCATTGATCCCTCATCAAAAAATATGAAAAAAAGTTTCTAGGAACGTGGGTATGGAAATGCATAGTTTTAGAGTTACAGGATGTTAAAACTTTTTAAAATTGGTTTTTATGTAATTATCTGAAATACCATTATTTTCGTTATGAACCGCATGTTATAATTTCAAATAAACCATATGCGAAAATGTCAAATATTAACATATTATGTCATTCTAATCAGAGCGTCATTTTCTTTCAAATAAAGTAAAAAATACCGAGGGTGTTATTTAAAAACTAAAAGTTGTTGTTATTCCGGTGAAACAGGAAGTGACCGAAAACAATTGAATATATCAATCTAAAAAAATCTGTCCTAATTTATGTCATATACTAACATACCAAATCTCGTTTTTTTAATTGAAAAAGTAAAAAAGTTATAGGGGTTAGTCACTTTTGAGACGCACCCGGTATATTACCTTTTTTACACCAAACCAAACCAAACCAAACTTTTTTTTTATTTTTATCTCGCATAAATCTCTGCAATTTTGGAAAAATTCTAAAAACCTGTTCCAGCCATTGTATCTAACAATACCAAGTTTTAAGTAAAGTCGACCAAGAAAATAGGGATTCCTATGTAAATTTTACCACTTTTTTTTACCCTCTATGAATTTAGCCAAATAATTTATAACCTCTATTTTGACCGCCATGTTAAATGGGTACACTTATACAAACAAAAATAATATCTTTAAATCATCAATTGTCAGCTACTTAACTATTATTTTTGGGAAATGTGTTTGAAAATTTTGCATTTTTCGACCTCCTTCGTATTTGGTTATCTTATAACTTATCGAAAAGGTGAAAACTGGATACCATAGAGTTTTTTACGCAGAATTGGGTGACGTAACTAGATTTTCACAGAGAGCTGGAATTCTTAAAAAATATGATCCAAACTTATGTTTTTTTTAAATGGGAGACCCCCCTGTATAGTTTTTATTTTATTTGCCTTGTTTATGTATTTCTAAATATTTTTAGAAAGACATAAACAAAGCACTATAGGTACTACCGTATGATCGAATAAAATCGGCGTCAGCGAGGGCTATGAAATGAAGATCGCTGTCATTTTATATGTAAAATTATATGGTAAATGTCATCGATCGTCATTTTCAAGCCAACTGGACGCCATTTTTTTTTAGATCATACGGTATATTTAGTACCTATAGTGCCGGCGGACCATATTTTATGGAAAAATTATTTTGTTTGTAGAGATTATTCAATATGTGTTAAAATTACAAAATCAATACAAAATATGAAAAAATTAACAATTATTATTAGCCCATAGGAAATGGTTTATACAGGGTGTTACAATATTAACCCACATAAAAAATCATATTTTCGCAGATTCAGGTCAAAGTCACACCTTAACTAGTTTCCAAATAATAAATATAAATCCAAAATATATGAGCCTAGAAGCATCAAATATGTGAAAATTTTTGTTATACAGGATGTCCCAAAGGTCAAAAGTAATCAACTTTTTATAAAACTAGTATTTTATTAAAAATCGATTTTTAAGACTTTTAGAATATATTTACATCTTATCTTAGGATTACGAAAAGTGATCAGAAAGGAAGCCAAAAATGCAATAATATACAGAGTGTTTCGTTTAAAAAAATCATCCGGTCCACTCACTCTTTTTTGAGCCACCTTATAGAAGTTAAAATATTTTCCTGAAATACATCCTCGTACAGGGTGGCTCGAATTCGACGTTCATCATTGGGATTTCGGAAACCATAAGAGATACAGGATCGGTTAAATGGAGGCAAAGTTGCGCAATTTGATGCTCAATAAAATGCCGTATTGCATTTTTATTTTTTATTTTTTTTTATCATCCCGGTCCACTCACTCTTTTTTGAGCCACCTTATAGAAGTTAAAATATTTTCCTGAAATACATCCTCGTACAGGGTGGCTCGAATTCGACACTCATCATTGGGATTTCGGAAACCGTAAGAGAAACAGGATCGGTTAAATAGAGGCAAAGTTGCGAAATTTGATGCTCAATAAAATGCTGTATTGCATTTTTATTTTTTATTTTTTTTTGCATATGATGGAATTTCGAGCCACCCTGTACATACCTTAGGCTTGCACTGAAACAAAATTCCCAAGTTTTTTAATCTAGGAGCTACAAATGCCTGACGTACTATTGCCCGACTGTGCATTCAACAGAACAATATGCTTTACAACAAAGGGTGGCAGTTTGGGGCAGATTTTTTTTGCGCGACATAAAAGTATAAAGACCACCTAAGCGAATGACATGTATAAAAGAAATACGATATTTCTTCTTATATTATTATTCTTATATATTTCTTCTTATATTATTATTCTTTTAAAATCGTTCATAAATTTAAAAGTTGTTTTTTTGAAAAATATATTTTAACAAAAATGACCCTAATACAAATGTGGGAAAATATTATTTAAATGTAAAATAAGGGAGCAGAAAAACAGTAAAAACTTATCCCTATCATCTACATTCATCATAAAAAAAATATTTGTAAAATATACGTTTTCAAAAAATTACAAAGTTGAAACTCTTCTGCCGCGATGTAATAGCATTTTGCAAAGCCGACTATCAAGTGAAGCGATTTTCGACATGTTACGACAATTCGATTATTAATTTGCTTTTGTTTTGTGATGCTCCAAAGCCTACTTGTTGTGAATTGATAACAAGATTTATGAAAAAATATTTTTTTTGGAGTTATTCAATGTTTTTAGTGACCCTGGCCCTTTGTGGCGCCGCACAGTGCTTCGAACATATGGCTCTAGAGGACAAAAATCCAAAACTTCTCTTTTATTGTAAGCAATTTATTCAAACTAGGTTTATTTGACACAAATAATGAGTACTCTCATTGTACTAAATGATGATATTCTTAGTCCCATGTTTATGAAAAAAAAATCTTATAAATAATAATAATGTTGGAGCTGTGTTCCATCTAAGCAAATAATAAGTTATAGTATGAAAACGGTGTAAGTATTAAATAAATTCCTGTGATAAAAAAGAATTGAAATAACATTAGAACATGATTCCTACAATATAAGCCTAATATAAGATAAAAATGTTTTTCTTTAATGAAAAAGAAACTTAAATTAATGTTATATTTAATTAAAAAAAAACTTAAGATACTATAAATTTACTTTAGGACAACAAAATGCATAGATCGTAACTACTCTGATTCAGGAGAATCACTGCTGACAGAATCTTCCAAATTTATAGTATCCAAATCACAGGTAGATGAAGTATCCTCACATATAAGATATTTCTGTACATCATTTTCTAATATGTTACTTTTTCGCGTTGTTACTGTTCATTTTGTCGGTATGAGGGGTTCGGATGTTAATAGTTACATCTTTAATAGACCTTCTCCATATATTATTTTTTCCTTTTCTTGGGTATGAGATTTTATAATAAATTGAAAGATGGACACTTTTTTTATGCGACGTTTCGCTCCAACATAGTGGACTTTTTCAGGCACAAGTGGTGTCTCATTTGACTGGAAGGTTCATCAATATCTAATAAGAACATATTTTTTGAAATACAAATAATTTTGAGTTCTTATCCTTATGATCAAGCCAAGTATTAACCAGATCGGCATTGCTTATCAATTTTACTCCATCTGAAAAGTATTATAAAATAAAGTTCGTCGCAAGCAGACGCAGGTGAACTATACAAAAAATAAAAGTGTATGAATATGGCAACAAAAATATTCAATAAATACGATATGTTTTAATATGTTTTTTTTTAAATGCCTTTTTGAAGTTTGAAAACGTAAAATTTTTATACCCATTAAGAATCATCTTAAAAAATAAATAAAAACTAAACAATCACGAACTTGTTTAGAAATAAATTTAAAGTACATACCTTGTTTAACAATATCCATAGTGGCTTTCAATTAAGTACGTACCCGTTTAACTCCATAATATACAGAACTACTATGAATGTTATTCTTTTCACTGATGAGATAATGATCGCAAAATATATTTTTAGTGAAAATATTTGCTAACAAAAACGCTGTTTATGAAAAATAATATACAGGATGGTTGAACATTGCTATAAGTATAAAATTATATATTTAGATATTAGTAAATTTTAACTTATTTTTTGATTTTTGTCCATGGGACGAAGCACTGTGCGCCGGCGCCGCAGAAGCATTCTTGGCCTGTGACTGACATTGATATGCCTTGTTTAACGATTTCATCTGTCTGTTCGTTACTCTCGTGCTCTGGTATACGTGAACATAACATTACTCACTTATTGAGTTTATAGC